TTGGGTAGGATCAGGCCCGCAGGCAGGATCGAGTTTTTTGAATTCTGGGTTAATACAGCACATAGCTGGGGAAGTTGGTTTTGAGGTAACCGGAGGACGATTTTGTTATTTGAAAAGAAAATTTGAGCACGCAGTTTACACAACAGGTCTTTGCCCAAGAGATTAACTGGGGAATCAGGAGCTAGCAGAAAGGCATGGGAGGTGGAGACTTCAGAGATTTTTACAGTAGCTTTTTGTAACACAGAACAGTCAAATGGCTTTCCAGCTATACCCATTACCAGAATACTTTTAAACACCGGGTAAAGGCCATTTACTTAACATATAATTCAAAGGGCTATCCTTAGGGTTTTATCAGAGACCCACCCATTTGCCTGCTGATACTTTAACAGAGAATTACACAGAGAGATCAGAGGGAATTATGGCCTAATAGGATTTTATTACAGGAATTTTTACTAATACTGACCGCTACAGGGGACGGGACAGAAGGATCCCAATTCGACCTCAGAGCTTTATTGCACGCAATGGCTTTTCCTCCGAGGAATTATGAATGAGAGGCTCAGTTTCGTTTACACACCTAATGCCCAAATGTATAAGACAGAAATTTATTAACCAGTTAACCAGACCAGACCCAGATAGTGTCTTCTTATTTTATTAGGACTCACCTTATCCGAGCACGAATCCCAGGGGCTGCGGTGAAATGAGGAAAAGGGGCTAAGCACCCCGTTGGCGCCGTTTTCAGTTCGCCGCAGCCATCCGGAGTCCAATGTCTGAGCTAGGAGAGTCCCGGCGGAGTCGCCAGAAACTGTCACTGAAATATAGGGTTCACCTAGCTGAGAGCCAATAACAGCCAGACAGGGATAAGGAAAGGTTGCTTTATTCTGCAGAAGAAAGGAGAGCTATGCACCTTGGTACAAAAAACTCTGTCTTACACACATTTTACAGATCCTTTATACACATTCAGACAAAGGCCCTTGCCGTGTTAACACTTGATTGGTGGTTGCCAGACCCGTGCTTCTGCTATCTGGTCAGTGAAAACCAGTTTGGGACCAGCTCCATCTACCTCAAGGCCTTGAAGGGAAGACAGTTGAAAAGTTCAGGCTACTGTGTATTTGAGGTGTCTGCTTCCCCCTAATGGCCGCTGGCTGCTAGCTATTAAGGTGGGGGGACGCTGCTGACTGTCACAATGGGCTCTTCAATCTAGCAGAGAAAGGTCTAACGTGCTCCCATGGCTGGAAGTTGAAGCTAGACAAATTCAGACTGGAAATAAGGTGCAACATTTTTAACAGTGAGAGGAATTAACCCCCAGAACAATTTACCAAGGGTTGTGGTGGATTCCCCACCACTGGATGTTTCTCTAAATGTTCTGGTCTGGTTCAGTTCAGGGAAGTTTGCTGGCTCGTGTTACACAGGAAGTCAGGCTAGACGATCACAGTGGTTCCGGCTGGCGGTACAGTCCGTAAATCTATGAAGGCTGATTTGCATGGAATGATTTGCAAGAAAAGGCCTTCAAGGGCTAGACATAAGGGAAGTTTAAATGAGCTGCTGGGAGTCAGGACTCCTGGGTTCTATACTCAGCTTTGGGAGGGGAGTGGGGCCTCAGAGTCAGTCCTAGAAATAGGAGGGGCTGGTCCCTGAGCCCCCACCACTGGCCCCACTCTGCATAGGGGAAGCTCTAACAGATGGCTGTTTAACCCCTGCAGTGCTTGCACCGAGCCATGGATTCAGCGTGGACATGGAGGGACCCATCACCTTCCAGGAGGCTGCTGCAGGGTTCGGGCAGAGCGTGGTGCAGTTCGGGAGTGCCAGCGCTGGGGGGTAAGGGCCAAGCGTGGGCTCAGGACCCCACAGCTATGTGCCTCACGCCCATCCCCGAGGGGCCCGTCTGGTTGGGCTGCCCCTCCTGGGCCCCACTCCTCTGGGTATGATGAGGTATCCCCTGAGCCCCCCCTCTGCTCTCTCCCCACAGGCTGCTCGTCGGGGCCCCGCTGCAGACAGGAAACGTGAATGAAACCGGCAAAGTCTACAAGTGCGTCCCGGGCTCCGGACGCTGCCAGGAGATCCCCATCCAGAGTAGGGGCACCCCTGTGCTGTGGGGTCCAGTGGGTTAGAGCGAGGGGTCTGGGAGTCAGGACTCCTGGGTTCTATCCAGGGGGTGGGGTTTATTTGCTCACCCTGGTGTGCATTTTTCCACCCTCAGGGCCCGCTGATGCTGTGAAGATGTCCCTTGGTTTGTCTCTGGCTGCCCAGAGCTCCCAGCTCCTGGTAGGTAGCGTGCATGGGGGGGATGGGTGCTGGGACTGGGGTCTGACACTTGCTCCCTGGGAATGTCATGGGGCAGCTCCCCCCAAACCCCACTCCTCACGGCTGGTAGTAACTGGGCTATGTCAGCGCGACTGGGGTACTTGGGCAAAGTTCATGACTAGGTGACATAATTGTGATGTAACTCTATGGGGGTCTTTGGTAACTCCCGTAATTAGCGGGGAAAGATGGTCGCCGGGTGATGTCGCCAAGGCAACAGTGACTGTGAACTGACTTAGCAGTGAGCATGGTGACCAGCTGACATCGCCATGGAGACAGTGGTCATGAGATGATGTTGTAAGAGATGGAGGTAACTAGGTGATGCCATGGTGACATCGATTGTGCACTGCCATAGCAGGGCGTGTGGCAACTGGATGACTTCACCGTGGCAACCTTGACTGTGCACTGCCATATCAGGGAGGGCTGTAACTGGTTAATGTAGACATGGCGCCAATGATTGTGTGTTGCCATAGCAGGGAGTGTGGTAACTAGGTGATGTCCCTGTGTCACTCCCCTGTCCCCTCTGGGAAACGAGTGCTGGGTCCTGGGGTCCAATCTGCCCTACGGGAATCCCCTCTCCTGGCAGGAACTTACATATCCATGGAGAGAAGGCCCTGGCTCTCCCGCACTGGGGCTCTACTCACGAGAGCCCAGTGACCCCGTCCCTCTCTTGTGCCTAGGTGTGCGGCCCCACGGTGCACCAGGCCTGCGGGGAGAACATGTACGTCAAAGGCTACTGCTTCCTCCTGGACCAGAGCCTCCGGCAGCTCCGGCGCATCCCAGACAGTCTGCCAGGTGAGGGGCAGTCCAGGGAGTGGGGAACCAGCACCCAGGGGACAAGTGTGTGGGGGGGGAATATGGGCCAGCAGGGGAGGAGGAGGAATGAGGCTAGATGGGTCCTTGGTCTGATCTGGGGCAGCAGGGACAGGACCCGGCTAGATGGGTCCATGGGCCTGTACGACGGTGGCGGGGAGGGGGCGGGATACCAGGCTAGATGGGCAGATGTCTTGGCAGTTTCACTGCCATTTGGTGTCTCTTGGCCCATTTAGCTGAATTTCTCTGTGTAACCCCCACCCTCCCCATTCCCCAGAGTGTCCCAAACGCCCCACAGACATCGTGTTCCTCATTGATGGCTCAGGCAGCATTGGTTACCGTGACTTTGGAACAATGAAGACGTTTGTCATCGAGGTCATAAGGCGTTTCCGTGGCACCGACACGCTGGTAACTGGCAGCCGCTGATTCCAGACCCTTGAGCCGCCAGCATCCCCTGCCCCTGGCAGGCAGGGCAGCGTCAGAGGGTGCTGAGCTGCAGGGAGCGGGTGGGGGGCTCATACAGGGTCCTTTCCCCTCACAGTTGTGTTGACCCCAATGCCCCAGCATCTCTGCTCTTCTGACCCACTCTTACTCCACCCTGCCCTGTTCCCCCTCTTGTCTCCCAGTTTGCCCTCATGCAGTTCTCCAGCACTTTCAAGGAGCACTTTGACTTCAATAAGTTCAAGAGCACCCGTGACATAGATTCACTCGTCGGTCAAGTTGAACAGCTCAGAGGAGCTACCTACACACCCACTGCCATCCAGAAAGTGGTGTAGGTACCTCCTCTTCCCCTACAAGTACTTTCCTTCCCATCCCACAGACATGGAGGCTGAAAGAACTAACCCCTCTGCCCGTGCCACATTTCCAGGAGGGAGCTGTTTATCTCACAGAAAGGATCCCGGGATGGAGCTGCCAGGATTCTCATTGTGGTAACAGACGGCATGAAAAATGATTACCTTCAATACTCAGACGTGATTCCAGAGGCAGAGAGAGCTGGGATCATTCGCTACGCCATCGGGGTGAGATCTATCTATCCTAATGCTCACCTACAGAATCACAGAGCTTTGTTGGGACACTGCAACAAATTCAGCCACCCAGACATCACTTGTAGTTGGATCTAAATGACAGGAGTGCAGGATTCATGTCCTCTAGGTCAGGCCTATCTATTGTGGATAGACTGTCTGCTGAAGATGGCAGTGGGCTGAGGTCCCAAGCACACCCTGGCAATTCCACCTCCACGGCTGGTCTCCCATTATAAGCTACCTGCTGGGGTATCGCTGAATTTTCTTCTACATCCCTCTGGGATAGTGGTTGAGCAGCCTCCTGGTTTGCCCTCCTTTTTCCTTCAATCAATCTGTTTGCCGACTCTCAATGCATTACAAAGGGGCACACCTTTGTGTCTTGTATGAGAACAGACAAGTTGTTTAGTTTCTTAATCACGGTGTAAGGCCCCTCCAAAAAGAAGGAAGTTGGGTTTTTTTTATCCAGGCTGCTTTTTCCAGGTGTGTAACCAAAGCTTCTCTCCTTCGTGGATGGGCACGAAATTTTCCTGACGTCTTGTGCCTCTGTAGTAAGGCGCAGCACTCACCGGCGCAGCGCCTCCTGCTGGTTACCTCGAGAATTAGCTCTTCCAGCACTGGAGCGCCTTCTGCTGGCCAGTGTCTCTCCTGCTGTCACTACTTGTCTTACCACTGATGTCAGTCTAGGCCCTGCATCCCCCCTGGCCCATGGTGTCCCTTCTCTGGGGTACTACCCCACAGCAGTGCCCCCACACTCTGGGTCTCCCCTCCCAGGGGAACCCCAACCCCCTATACCCACCTTGCCTCAGTAGCTACTGCCAGTTGTCATCTAGCCCCTTCTTTCAGGGGCAAACTGCAGTCTGAAATGGACGCTCATCACTGGCAAGGGTTGGACCCTGCTGCCTTTCTAGCCCCACCTGCCTCCCTTCAGCCCTAGTACCTCCCCTGGCCTTTAGCAAGGCCTCAGCCTGGGGACTCACCAGGCCAGAGCTCCTCAGCTCTGCCTGACTTTCCCCAGCCTTGCTCTGTCTCAGGTACCCTGCTTGTTCTCCCAGGCAGCCTGGTCCTCTCTGCTCCCCAGCTGGAGGAAGAGACGTCTCTCACCCTCTCAGCCTGCCCTTTTATCAGGGCCAGCTGTGCCCTAATTGGGCGCAGCCACACCAGTGGCTGACCACCCAACCAGCCTCCCTTGGCTGCTTTTAACCCCTTTCTGACTGGAGCAGAGTGACCGGCCCGCTACACCCCCCCAAAATCCCAAGGCCAAAAGTATAACTGGGTTCAAAAAAGAATTGGATAAATTCATGGAGGATAGGTCCTCAAAGACTGCTAGCCAAGAAGGTCAGGGTGTCTCATGGTATGTCCCTAAGCCTCTGGGTGTCCCTAAGCCTCTGACTGCCAGATGCTGGGATGGGACAACAGGATGTATCACTTCTGATTCCCTCTGAAGCATCTGGCAATGGCCACTGTTAGAAAACAGGAAACAGAGCTAGATGGATCTTGGTCTGACCCAGTCTGGCCATGCTTATGTTCTTCTGTTTCTGTCCCTGGTCTCTCCTGCACCTTTGCCCCATGAAGGTTGGCCGGGCCTTCTCCCAGTATAGTGCCCAGCGGGAGCTCCATGAGATCGCCTCTAATCCCACCAACGAGCACATCTTCCAGGTGAATGACTTTGATGCTCTTCGGGGCATCCAGAACCAGCTGCAGGAGAAGATTTTTGCCATTGAAGGTACCGGACCAGGGAGAAGCACTTCACTTGCTATGGGGCTGTGTAAACAGGTTCCTGGGGTAGCGATGGGCCAGGGAGCTGCTGGGATTCTGTACCGCAAAGGGACCCAGGAGCTATCCCTCTAAGGAGTCCATTCTGTGCCCATCACCAGAGTATCTGAGCTCCAGGGTGAAGTGCTAGCAACTCTGGCTGCTTCTGTAATGTACTGCTCAGGGGGCCAAATTAATCAGTGGGGCTGACTGGCTCAGCAGGGAATGGGACATGGGACCTTCCCCT